AAAAATCCCACGGGGATTGCATTCCAGGCTCTAAAAACCTAGTGTTAAATTAAATGCCTAATGACCTGTCATAGACCTGTCAGTTAGGCTGATAAGACCTAAACAGGCATTTGCTTGAACCATTACACAGTGGCAGGCACTGAAAGGTTGGTTCCTAGGAGGGGGTTGGGTGAGACATTAGGGAATCTTTGATCCGTGTAGCTTCTGCCTAGCAACAGCAGGTGTGTGCATACAAAAGACAGACAGGGGACCAGAAATCAGTCCATGAGCATGCCTAGAACTGCAAAACTAAGCCCTAAGCCAGAGGAATGCTGTTTTTAATCCATTTTTAGATTTCATGATTATTTACATCACTTTGTGTAGTGTTATGTTTTAAAATTCTACCGTATTCCTAGCTTTATAGTTGCTTATTATAATATAGGCAATATGGTTTCAATAATATTAAGGTTTATGGTATTGACGTACAAAATTATTACATCCCGCAACCACCAAAAAGCAAGAGATACATTGCTGTCTCTCCTCTCTCTCCCTCTTTCTCGCTTCCTTTCTCTCTCCCTCTTTCTCTTTCTCACTATCCATTTCATATATATATATCTATACAGATACATACATATATATATATATATATATATATATATATATATATAAAATGAGCACATTGGGGCTGGAGCGATAGCACAGCGGTAGGGCGTTTGACTTGCATGCAGCCAACATGGTCGACCCGAGTTCGATTCCTCCGTGCCTCTTGGAGAGCCCGGCAAGCTACCGAGAGTATCTTGCCTGCATGGCAGAGCCTGGCAAGCTATCCGTGATGTATTCAATATGCCAAACACAGTAACAACAAAAGTCTCCAATGGAGACGTTACTGGGCCTGCTCGAGCAAATTGATGAACAATGGGAGGACAGTGATGATGATACAGTGATGAGCATATTATAATATGCTATAGTTCCTATTCCTGGGGTATAAAAGTGTAGCTTTCAGGTTCAAAGGGCATAAATAATGAGAACCTAAAAAATTTTACAAATGCAAGTTGAACGCACAAATCAAGTGTGTACTGTGTAGTATTAATTTCCTTGGGAAGCTGATAATGGAACAATTAGAGTGTGAATAACCTTAGGCACCAGAATAAAATTCACAACTTGTAAATTTGCTGAGATTGTATGCTTTAATAGAAATGATGCAGAGTACTTATTATACTAGTAGACTGTTAGAAGGACTAACTTTTAATATTCAAACATGTAATGCAACCCAGGAGGCACAGATGAATATTCATTACAAATGTTAAAATGTTTAATGGTGAAGCTAAATATTGCTGCTCAGTAGTATACATAGAATGGTATAAAGCATTTATCTGCATAAGGAAACCTTCCTGCAGAATGCTTGAGTCTTTCATATTAAAAGTCCATGATAGATTAATAAAACAATTGCTAATAACTGTTAAAAACTAATTTGAATAGTTATACTTATATAGGCAAATATACAAAATATACTAACTTCCGGATTTGTTTCATCATGAAACTTAACTGCTAACCTATGAGGAGCTCAGTATTTTCTATTTTTAAGATGATAAAAGAAACTCAGGACAATTTTTCTAATTCCACATACCTGTTTAGAAGCAAATCAGAGTATTCTGTACACTTCATAGCCTTTATGTTTCTAATCACTGTATCAAGGTATCACTGTCTTCCCGTTGTTCTCAATTTGCTCAAGCAAGCACCAGTAACGTCTCCATTCATCCCAGCCCTGAGATTTTAGCAGCCTCTCCTTACTCGTCCTTCCCAATGGTGCCATATTGGAGGCTCTTTCAGAGTCAGGGGAATGAGACCCGTTATTGTTACTGTTTTTGGCATATCGAATATTCCATGGGTAGCTTGCCAGGCTTTGCTGTGTGGGCGGGATACTGTCAGTGGCTTGATAAGTTCTCCAAGAGGGACGGAGGGATGTTTCTAATATAGTATTTATTTCAATCACATAGATATGAGTTACTTTTTACTATAAAAAGAGATGTTCAGACTCCATCTTATGTTTGAGGCTCTGTCTTATTAAACTTTTAGTTAATTTTTAAAAATTATTAATTACAGTCAAGAATTAACTTTCAGTTAGGCTGTTGCTTCTGAGCATAAACATAGCACTGTAGCACTGTCCTCCCATTGTTCATCGATTTGCTCTAACGGACACCAGTAAGTCTCCATTGTGAGACTTGTTGTTTTCTGTTTTTGGCATATTGAATACATCACGGGTAGCTTGCCAGGCTTTGCTGTGAGGGCAGGATACTCTTGGTTTATGCCAGGCTCTCTGAGAGGGGCGGAGGAACCGAACCTGGGTTAGCCAGGTGCAAGGCAAATGTCTGACCTATTGTGTTATCACTCCAGCCCGAGCATAAATATATCCTAGTATAAATACATATAAAGAGATGTATATTTTCTATTTCTATTTCTCTATTAATAAGGTCATTTTTACTAAAGTCAGTGTAAGAAACGCAGTCTATGACCAACCCTAGTTTTTGCAATTCTACCCTTCTCCGCCCATTCTATTCTACAAACATCACATTGGGATAAATTTTGACCCATATCTGTTCTTGTACTTTCTGATTTGCCTGTATAAGATCTTTGAACTAACATTACTATTTAATTTTAGCCCTATTCTTTTTGTCATGGTTGATAACAATAAAAATATATTTTCCTTTTGTTCATGGCCATAAAATCACTGGAGCAAAGATAAGGCTATAATATGAAAAAAATGATGATATGTTTCTGTGACAGAGAAACGCAAATATAGTAGCTCTTTTTCCCATCTACTTATATGGAGTCTTAACTCAACAATGTGTGGTCTCTTCATTTTCAGATCTATGAACACTTTGTTTTGTATTTCATTCGGGGGTTACATCTGATGGTAGCTCAAGACGTACTCTTTACTCTGCGCTCAGGGAGACTATACACAGTGCTGGGGATTGAGCTAGAGTCAGCATATATGTGCAAGGCAAGTGCTTTACAGCCTGTTCTATCTTTCTGCCATGTTTTACTCCCTTATTGCATTGTATTATACTGCAGTGCATTTTACTTTTTATATCATTTAGGCAGTAATGTTATAACAGTGTTTTACTTTATAGTATTGATGTAAAAAATTACTGCATATCACAGTCACCAAAGTCCCTGATCTTCCACCCATCCTTACTTCTTCTGTTGACCTTCCTTCCATGCACACCTATTACCCTACTTTTTTTAAAAAAAAATTATTAGTGAAACAGCATGAGGTACTGTTGTAGACTTACAGAACTTTGTGTTTGGGTCCCAACCATACAATGATCAAACAGTCACCCCTCCACCAGTGCCCAACTTCCACCACGATGGATCCCACTATCCCTCCCACCCCCAACCTCCCCCATCCCACCCTGCCTCTGTGGCAGTGTATTCCCTTTTGTTCTCTCTCTCCTTTTGGGTGCTGTGGTTTGCAAAAGAGGCATTGAATGGCAATCATGTTTGGCCTATAGTCTACTTTCAGCATGTATCTCCCATCCTGGGAGGATCCTCCCAATACTCTTTATTTGGTGTTCCCTTCAATAGCTGAGCTCCCTTTTCCCATAGCATGTGTGGCTGGCCTCCAAACCATGGAGTAAACCTCCTGGTTCTAATCTCGGTGATTCTTGGGTGTTAGTCTCCTATTTTGTTACTTTATGTTCCCCAGATGAATGCGATCTATGTCTATCCCTTTCTTTCTCACTCACTTCGCTTAGCATGATACTTTCCATGTAGTACCACTTGTATGTAAATTTCATGACTTCATCTTTTCTAACAACTACATAGTACTCCATTGTGTAGATATACCAAAATTTCTTTAACCAGTTATCTGTTCTCAGGCACTCAGGTTTTTTCCAGATTCTGGCTATTGTAAATAGTGCTGCAATGAACAAACAAGTGCAGATGTCACTTCGACTGTATTACCCTACTTTTTAATGACTAATAGTTGTGGTTTGGCATACACTGTTACCTCACTTTACCATGACCAACATGCTCTATATCTGCACCTATGCCCTTGTGTTACTTCCAGCCCATCGCAAAATCTGGTATTTTTAGGTATATATCAGAGTACCTAAGGTGTATTACCAATTAATGCTATCCATATTCATGTCTTATTTGTTTATATACATTACAGAGGAGTGAGATCATCGGGTATCTGTTCATTGTTTCTGGCTAAAGTCTCTTCATGATATTATTCAATTCCATTCAACTTTTTTATTAGTGAACAGAGACCAACATTTTCTAAATATAGAAGAAATATTTTTAAGAACCATTCAGATTTGAAACAGAAGACAATTATGCTGGAAGATAAATATACTATATACGAGTTTGCTTATGTAATACTTTAAAATTTATGAACAGATTTTAAAAAGATTATAAACAGAATCTATGAGAAATTTGTTATCTACATTTATATTTTTAACATCTTATTCTTGTTAAATAAGAAACAAAGCCAGACATGAGAAGACTTAGCTCTTTACTCTTCTGTTAAATTACTTTTACTTTATTAATAATTACTAATAATATATTGTATTATGTATTGTAATTTACTGGAACTCTTCATATGCAGTCACACATTTTACATATTCATAAAAATCTTCATAACTACTCATGTAATTAAATATTATAAATATTAACTCCTTAAGCAGAAGGGACAAATGAAGCTTAGAGATCTCTATGATTCTCCAACTCAGTTGGACCTACAGATGACAGAATCAGAATCCTCAGTCTGGATATTAGAAAAATCACTGTTTTCCCACTATTCCACAATAAATATGTCTGTTTTAACACAGATATCCCAAAAATAATCAGTTATTAAACTATTATCACCTAAAGTGTGATTCATTATTATTACCTAGCAAAAGTATTCATGAGCATCCACTTATATTCAAATAGAAAATGCTCCAAACCTGAAAAGAATTGAGTTTCTCCACTGTGATGAAATGCTCTGGCATGATGATGGATAAACTGGCAACACTCACCTCTTTTTGACGGTACTTGATTGCCAGTTTCAGTCTTGCAAGATCATTTCCACTTTGCTCTTCTATGAGACTATTGTCATCTCGGTAATTAAGAATGATTTCCAGTTCTCTGGAACTTCTTGTCTGATCCAGTAGGTCCTTAGCAAACTGTTTGCACTGCCGTGACAGCTCCTCATATTCTGACTTGAATTCATTTTCCACTTTACTAAGTTCTTGAAGCTCCCAACTCAACTGAAAGGCTGTAAGAAAAGGATCTTCGCTTGACAGTGCTATGAGAGACGGACTGGCCAAGGCCTTGTAGATATTCAGTCGGGAGCGTGAGTGACGAAGACTGTCCACATCAGAACTGGAGACACATTCAACACAGTTACAGCGGACTTCATGGGGTCGGGGTACAGAAACTCCTTTCTGGACTAAAAGTTTTATTATCTCATAATTATTTGTATGGGCTGCCAAAATGATTGGTGTAATGTCCGGAGTGAATTCAGAGAATTGCTTATCAAGAAGTATGGGAGGCACCTAGTAAAAGAAAACAGAGATGCTATGAATATTTATTCAGTTGTTAGGGGCTTTGAATGTTAATAGCATTGTTGAACCAGCTTCAGAAATCTGCAAGTTTTCTTGTTGGAAATATATGCGCTTCCCACCTGAAAAGAGACAAAACAATACTAGACTGGACAGCTTTCCAATATAGTATGCCATTACTGTAGTTTGGATTTTTGAGTCACACTGGGCAGTACTCAGGGCTTACTCCTGTTTCTATGCTCAGTGAACTTTCCTGGAAGTACATTGGGACCATAGTTAACTTAACAACAATCAACACAAGTCATTTAAAAATTAGAAAGTGAGGGGACTGAAGAGGTAGTACAGCTGGCAGGGTGCTTGCCATGCACATAGCTGATGCAGGATAGATCCGCAGAATTGTACATTGTTTCCCTGAATCTGCCAGGAGTGACGCTTGAGGTCAGAATCAGAAGCAATCCCTGAGTATTACTGAGTGTGGCCCAAGAATAAACAACAATATTTAAGAAATGGAATTTTACCTAAATATATTTCCATCAATGAATTATATACTTTTCAGCTAACAATATTGACCTAGGAAACTGCAGAAGAAAAATTTATCATGGAGAGATCTACATTCAATTCACAAACATTTATTTCGATAAAATCAGTGTTTGTTAAAGTTAGTTGTACAATTTGACTAAAGAGTTGGCATACAGATTATAATTTGGTGTATTCTAATTATTAATATTAAATAGATCCATGATAAAACCTAGCTCTACTCTTAGGTATATTACTTTGTCAAAGTTTCTTTATGTCTCTACTATATTCAAAAGAATATTCCTTCTAAGATGAAGATTTTGATTCTGAACACTTTTTGTATCCAGTGACAGCATGATAAAATTTTTATGAGATTTTTTCAAGAGTTTTAATAAAAATTTGTTAAAATTTTAATTTCGTCTTTTTAACTTTTGATGTGGGTCCCAGGGCTGACATCTCCAAACCTGCTCGGATCAAGGCTGAGCATTTTCCACCCAGATCCTCCAAATTCCAGTAGGCAGGGATCACACCCACCAACTGGTCCCCTGGCACCATGTAATCCCATCAACGGCCAAGACCCAGAGACTATAAAACCCAGCTCCTGGAAGAGAACAGCACAGAGTCTCCTGCCCCTGCGCCTGGCTGTCCTCGCCTGGGCCCCTTGGAGGGGAGCGGGTTGAGTTTCCCTCCCTGCCCCGACCAGGGCTCCGGCAGCCAAAGACCTCCAGAATCAGCCACCACCATGCTGAGACCACTCTCCACACGTATGAAGGTACCGGCAGAGGAACAAAGGCATGCGGGTCCCGGGGCTGAGATCTCCAAGCCTGCTCGGATCGGGGCTGAGAATCCTTCACCCAGATCCTCCAAATTCCAGTAGGCAGGGGCACACCCACCAACTGGCCCCCTGGCGTCGTGTAATCCCATCAACGGCCAAGACCCAGAGACAATAAAACCCAGCTCCCAGAAACACCTTATTATCTCATTCTTACTTTGGACAAAATGGCAGGCTACCGAATGTAACTTGTCCACACGGCAGAGTCTGGCAAACTCCCCGTGGTGTACCCAATATGCCAAATACCAGTAAAAATGATGGGTCTCATTCTCCTAACCCTGGAAGAGCCTTTAATATGGCACTTCTTAAAAATATCTCAGGGCTAGGACGAAGGAGACGTTACTGGGGCCTGCTCAAGGCAATTGACAAACAACAGGATGGTCGTGACTGTGATCGTGAACTTTTGATGTTTCTTCTAAAATATAAAACAACTATATATTTTTAACAATCCTATTAAACATGTTTCTCTCACATATTCAGATTACTTGTGTTTTTACTTCAAGCATAAAGGAGTTCCAATGTAGAGTTAGACTTAAAAAGTTTATTTCTAACATCAGGTATTTAAAAGTTAAAAATTTAATACACATAAAAATTGTATAAAAACAAGAGGTTGCTCTATGAATGAGTGAGTGAATGAATGAATGAATGAATGAATGAATATCTAAGAAAGAATTGACAAAGGACCAGAGGGAGCTCATGGGTTAAGGGCATGAGATTTGCAATGCTCTTCCAAATACCACTGTTTGGCCTTGGGGCCTTCATGCACTGTTGGGGTAGACGATGTAATCCACAGCACTTCAGGGCCATTATACCATATTTTTGGTTTTTGCATGTTTGTTTGTTTGCTTTTTGTTTAGGGGCCACATATGGAAATGCTCAGGAGTTACTCCTGGCTCTACATTCAAAAATTACTCCTGACACTGCTCAAGGGACCATATGAGATGCTGGGATCAAACTGAGCCCGCTGTGTACAAGCGTCTTAACTGTTGTTCTACTACTCCAACCTCAGTAACATATCTTTGGGTCCTCACATTGAAATCCAGATATATTTGATTGAATATCTGACTAAAATCTGGGGATCTTGTATGCTGGCACATTGTGGCTCACTTGAAAATTGTAACAGTTTTTGTACTTCTTAGCCAGAAATAATATTTCTAAATATAAACATAAATTATATATATTGTATATATACATATATTATACATGTAAAATAAGGTAAAGGTAAAGGTAAAGGCCCTCCCGTTGATGGTCGATTTGCTCGAGCGGGCCCAGTAACGTCTCCATTGGAGACTTTGTTGTTACTGTGTCTGGCATATCGAATACTCTCGGTAGCTTGCCGGGCTCTCCGAGAGGGGCGGAGGAATCGAACTCAGGTCGGCCATGTTGGCTGCGTGTAAGGCGAACGCCCTACCGCTGTGCTATCGCTTCAGCCACATGTAAAATATTAAAATATATTTTAAAATATGTAACATTGTTAATATATATACCTATCTATTCTGTAGCACTGTAGCACTGTCCTCAGATTGTTCATCGACTTGCTCGAGCGAGCACCAGTAACATTTCCATTGTGAGACTTGTTACTGTTTTTGGCATATCAAATATGCCATGGGGAGCGTGCCAGGCTCTGCCATGAGGGCAGGATATTCTCGGTGGCTTGCTGGGCTCTCCGGGAGGGACGGAGAAATCGAACCTGGGTTGCCTACATGCAAGGCAAACGCTCTACTCACTGTGCTATCGCTCCATGAAAAAATATTAATATTTAAGTTGTAAATATATAAATATTGAGATACAATATGATAGCAAAATATCTCCATCATCATTACAGAGACATAGAACTGCATATAAATTTATTTTTCTAAATTCATAAAGAAAATTACACATTATTATGTGGAAGTTTGCAGAAAAGCAATGTAAGTTCTCCATCCTAATTTACAGATACCCTTGATTTTTGTCTATTGATTTCTAGGCTAAGATGCTATCCAGATCTAATTAAATTGGATTTGAAAGACATGAACATTTTAATGGTGAAGCACTAACCAACAATTGATTTCTAGGAGTAATGTTAGGAGACTCATGATTTTTGAAAAGAAAAAGAAAGCATTATTTTTGAAATTAAAAATTCATTCACCTTCATTAAAAAGTAGAATATTACATGGTTTTTAAGAGTCCTAAAATCACCAGAGATAGGAATAGTTATCAGAAATAGGAAGAGCAAGGAAAGGGTGGGGGAGAGAGAGAAAGAGACAGAGGACAAGGGAGAGACTGAGGTTTTGTGAGGGAACGTTTCAGAAATTTGGGGAAATATCTATAATAATACATAGAGTAAAACATTGGATAAAGGTATAGATACATGGTAAATGTAGTAAGGCATATATGGATCTTGGTACCACTTATGATCCCCAAGCACTACCAGGAGTGACCCTGGGATAATCCCTGAGAACTTCCAGGTGTAATTCAAATCACTTCTCTCTCTCTCTCTCTCTCTCTCTCTCTCTCTCTCTCTCTGTATATATATATGTTAAGAGATTAAGTTTATATTAACTTGAATAAGTGTACAAAGCATATTGAAAGTGTAATGCAATGCTGGTAAAACATATTATCTTAGAACCATGACACATGAATCAAATGAACAAGGCTTTGTCAAGAATCATTTCAACTCAATATTATTACTGTGGGTTGGAGCAATAGCACAGCAGTAGGGCGTTTGCCTTGCACAGAGCCAGCCTGGCCAAGCCGGGTTTGATTCCTCCGCCCCTCTCAGAGAGCCGGGCAAGCTACTGAGAGTATCTTGCCTGCACGACAAAGTCTGGCAAGCTAGCCGTGATTTATTCAATATGCCAAACACAGTAACAAGAAGTCTCACGATGGAGACATTACTGGGCCCACTCGAGCCAATCGATGAACAACGGGAGGACAGTGCTTTCTATTATTATTGCAGATATGCTTGGAATCTGATAATGACACAAACAATAACTAATGTGTAAAACACATTGTGTTTGGTACCCTATACAAAGAATTTTTATACTTCATCTTAGTCCTCAAAAATCATACTTGAAGGATGTTTTTAATAAGAGGAGAATTATATTAAAGAAGAGAATATGACTTTGGGAAGTCAAGTAATCTTGCTTATGGTCAAAAGAAATGCACAGTTTTTGATTCCATAATCTGAATTCTTAATCAATAGATTAACTTGTATGTAAGTTGTCTGTATCATCCTGGATAAAGCTCAGGCATCATAAAAAGATATGCATTAACTCTAGTCTTAACCATTTTTAATTGCGTGAAAATGACAAGACTGGCTAATTTATTATTTGTTTATCCATTTTGAAATGTGGATATTTATTCAAGGTACTTCTAATTCTAGAATATGAACTGAATAAAACATGTATATATATTGTCTTCTCTGAGTTAATTCTCAGAGGATTGTGTTGAAAATAAATGTGAAGTATACTCTAATCTATAAATCACAAAATAGCAAGAAAGTACTAGTGTTATGTGACAAATCTAAGATTGTTAGGAAAAAGAGCAGAAACCTCTGTTATTCAATTTTGCCTGATTCATTTGTCTCTACTCACATAAACACAGTCCCAATTATAGTATTTGATTCATGTGAAAGGCAGAAGATAATTTTCTTGCGAGTCAGTTT